CTGTTTTTCTTTTCTTCGCATTAAATCATAACATATAATATGCTGATTATGATTATAAGGACAGTTGTAAGCAGTAAAGCATTCACTATCCATTCCCCATTCAACCCTCCTTCAAAATTTAACAAAACTAACCCATTGCTCAAGTCCGTTGACTAAATGCCGCTGCAATCTTCTTCTGGATATGCTCGACTCCAAGGCGAGGAGATAGTCTTGGAAGTGTCTCCTGCAATAGATGAGAAGATTTATGTGACTTTCCACCTTGGATAACTGCTAAACACAAGCGTCGTGAAAAGGAAATCTAAGTGAAGATGTTAACACGGGAATATTTCAATAATTTATCCTCGAGGCCAAATCAAAATTCGGATGCTGAAGACCCGTACTAACATCAGTATCAAAAAAGACCCCCATAGTAACTGAAGGCCTTATCGTTCTCTAAACTGCAGGTCGAAGAAGACTAACATTTGAATGTGATTGTTTTTTCACTGTATGTAGGAGCCTCATATTTTCCAGGCTACACCTATTCATTTTGGCTATTACACAGGCCTGGTTCAGCGTTAATAGTATATTATAGTCTTTATATGGCTTAAAAACAGTGTTAAGTCGCGAACTTACATTGTTGTTCACTTCAGTCGAACCTTTTGTCTTTTCTTTTCGTGGTATATTAGTTCAAAACGAATTCCTTTTTTTATATAAGCCAAGGCAATCTGTCAACTCCGTCAAATGGAAAATTTGACGTGGCAAGCTGACATGAATGATTAATTATTTCTGTACGTCCAGGTGAACAAGAGTGGATCACAAATTAAAGTTGGTGACCAAAGTGAAATCGATCTTAACTATTTATCTAAAAATGGTGATGACAAATGAAAATCAAAGATAAAACAAAATAATATCCCCCGACTACTAGCAATTGCCTTTCTTCTCATTTATAGGGGGTGACGAAAATAGGAGGCAGGTTAAATTTGGCTAGTAGGTTTATAATGGTTATTATAGTCATCAATCCTTTTTCAGTACTTTTTCCTTCAGCTTAGGGGGAGAGGATAGGAAAATGTTTAGCATCCATAATATATATTCAAATAAAATATAGGACTATCATTAATTGATGAGTCTAATACAGCTGAGAGGCATTCAGATCATCAGATCCGATTGAGGGCATCATCATTCTCTGATTACATGGTACTGATGTAATTAATGGAACCCAGAGGTGTATAGTCTCACAACAAATAATGCATGAAAGGCTAATGCTTTATAATACCAACAAGGTCGAACATTTGATTGTACTTGATAGACTTGTATCCTTAATTCAAGGGAAATAAGACTGTACAGAGCACAATCTGAATCAGACCACGCAAGAAGAAATATAGCAATTTGAGGGATATGCATTTGCACCTACAACAATTTGCATGATGGTTCCATTCCACAATTTATATATCTAAAAGTTGATTTAGTATGCCTCATTCCACATCGATGAAGCAGTACATGACTAAATGGAACTGGACTGCTTATTGACATGGGCTTCATTACAACGAGTAGAGTTCCCAATTTTTCACTTTTTTGGTTTGGTTTCATGTTATTTTTCTAGTAGCAAATTTATTAAAATGCTTTATTTACAGACTTCTTAAATGTTTCATGGTTTATTACGACTATAACTGTCTATTTTATAGCTTTAAAATTATGGGTTTACATTGGGACTTGTGTCTTAAAGAAGCTCAAGGCTGCATCTCCATGGGGAAGCACAATGCCTCAATTCCTGACTTGGCCTCTTGTATACACTGATTACATCTAGCAGTGTTTCCAGCATCTAATTGCCAAGACATGAATCATGAATGGCTTAATTCAATTTCTCAGAAACACTTGTTTTCTAAAGTAAAAACACTTTCTAATTTTTTGAATTTTCATATAGTGAACCCTAAGAAGTTCTCCATCTAACGCTACATTACTCATTGTCAAGTATTTTACCAGCATGGTTCGTACCAATAGTAGACTTACAGAGATGGTGCAAGGAGGCACAGCCCTCTCGAGTTTCTAGAAATTCTATTTTCCCATTAAAATAGTAATTTTTAACAAATTTAGGAAATTCGCCTCTCAGGGACTGCTGTCATCCTCTTCCTTTGTTCTGCAGTAAGAGAAAGGGAGCTAAATTCCACCAGATACCAAATTCAAAACACTATATAGATTTGACTGAATATTTGAATAAACATAACATAGCTCCCTCAAACATATGCCAGCCTATGTCACCCTCCAGTTGTAAATCCTGGACCCAGTATTGGATAGCTTAAGACATGGTAATCAATTGTCTATGTTGGATTGCTGCTTTACTTTAGCCCAATCTAACCTTCTGATTCATATTGATCAAGTGTATGCAGCAATCACCTTTTTGAAACTCGTGCATCTTTGGTACGCGCTTCTAGACGTGATTGGACAATATAATTTACAAAAGCTTATTTCTCCTTTAATATTGTCCAGTACTAATCAATCCTTTTCATCAAACATGCCATAGGTGTTATTGTACAAATTGTTCGTATTTTTCTTGATAATTAACAACTCAAAATTGGTAAATTAACAGCGTAGCATAACAAATAAAAAACCTGAACAGAAGAAATGATAATTAAAAAAGTGATAACTAACCTCAGTGCCATCATCATGGATTCTTGCCAATACAGGTATCTCATACTGGTAAAGCCTCTCCCAATCAGGATTACTTGTAATATCTCTTATCTACAAAAACCCATATCAATCGTTATATGCAACTCAATTAGCCATAACACATCACAAGCTTTGTATTCTGAACGAGGTTCGTATGTGCCCAAACTGCTCAAAGTCAAAGACTATTCACTCGGCTATTAACCCACAGTGGGAGTAATTCTTACATGCACTGGGTGTATTACACTTGTAGTTCACAGTGTCAGAGAGAACAGATACAATGTTTCAATGTTCCGATACATGAAAGAATACAACCCCTGTGTGGTTGACAAATATTATAACCACATTGGCAGAATTCACACTTAAAACTGGCTAACAAAAGGAGAGTGATCATGTGCTTACAAGCCATCATGCCAATAATTAATTTAACACTTAAAACCAGCTTATAATGGGAGAGCCCCCATGTCATTACCATTCACATAACCACTCTTCTACCAAAAGTAGCCCCAAATTGCAAGGGTGAAAAACTCCGTACCGTATACCAATTGTTACAACCACGTGGAGTTAAACTCAACCTCGAAATCGATATACAATGTGAGGGTGCCTAAGTGGTTATAAGTTATAAACCCATAAATAGAACTCTATCCTAGCTATCTGGGAAGGGAGAGGAGGCTGCATTTTTAACCAAATGCCCGCATAACCGTTCTATAACATACTTAGGATCTGTGCTGCAAACTTTAACTCAGCAAAATGTGAGACACAATTAGAGTCATTACAATCTAAAGATAGTGGCTTTTCAATCAGAAAGCTGCAAAATTCAAAAAATGGATTGTAGTTGAGGTAAAACCTGTAATTGGACGTCATGGAGGGGATTTGGGCCAGAAAGAGCGAAGGCAGCATCAAGCTTTTCTTTGAGGCCATCGCACAAACAGCATCCAGGCTTGGAATACAATATGAGTGTTCTTGGCACCGACGATGAAGATGAAGATGAAGAATAGGAAGAGGAAGCCGATTGACTGAAGAATGACCATTTAGCACTTTTTCGATTCAGATTTACTCCCACTCTCACTGCACTGACTGCAGGCAATATTTGTTGTCTTGCTACTGCAATTCCCATTGCAATTCCTGCAGCCATTTTTGCTCTCTATCTGATAACTGATCCTCTTCGATTGAAATCGCATGATCTTTTATTCCAAAATATAAACTGCGCTTTTATCAGAATTCTGGAGAATTGGCCAATTGGGCCCATCACGGCCTGCCTAAAGACTAGCTCGAGTGTTCTAATTCTCAACCCATGATGGTGTCTGTTAATTTTCATTTTTAATTTTTTTTAGGCAACTACGTGTAACTCCAGCATATAAGAATTACATTTCAAACCCTGTTTGAGCCAAATTATTGTAGAATGAGAATGAAAAATATAGTCATTATTGGGGCCCACATAAGAGATAGAAAATTTGAATTTAAATATTGACGGGGTGAATAACGGTCATATTTTTTATTTTAATGAGATAATAATATAGACCAAACGGGGCTAACAATTTTTTTCAAAATTTAGGCATTAATTCCAATTAATAATTAAATTTGTCTTTGACGATTGGTGAATCTATTTCTCGATCTCTTGAAATTGATGTACAAAATGCTCTTCGCCATTTTTATACCATTGCATTGTAATTTCTCTCCTGTTAGCTGTAAGATTGGAATTTGATATTTTTATTTTTATGATGAAGAAAGATGATGGATGAAGGTGGACATGCAGCAGTAGTGATGCATTGTGGGTGACCAGATTTGTAACTGAGGAGAGTTTATTCAATTAAGATTTTTAATGACTTTTTGGGATTTAAAAAGTTTTGAGGTATTCAATGTAGACTTTTGAAAATTCTCTAAAAGTATTGGTGTATTCAATTGAAACTTTCTAAAAGTCATGGTGTATTCAATTAAAATTTTTTAGAAATCTCTACTCCCTTTGTCTAAATTATATAGGCTTTTTTCGTTTTTCACATGGATTAGAAAGTTTCTTTAATGTAATTGGAAAATTAATTTTTATCAATATTTTACCTCTATTTAATTTTCAGTATGTAAA